GTCTTTTTGAGACAGGGTCTCCCTGTAGCCCCAGCTGTCCTGGAACTCACTGTGTAGACCAGGCTGGCCTTGAACTCACAGAGATCCGCCTGCCTCTGCCTCCCGAGTGCTGGGATTAAAGGCGCGCGCCATCACAACTATACTTTTAAAGATGTGTTTAACGGTCACATTTTTTAAAAGTCCACATACAATACAAAAGTGCAAAACAAACACCCTACAATACACAAATCCAACAGTGTGGTGAGAGATTTCATAATGAAAATGTGTTTGAAGACGCATTGTCTTTCCTTCTATTTCAGTAATTAAAATGTGCTTTTGAAACCACTGGCCAATACATAAATACTTAAAATAAGCCATGGAATTATACAAATAAGAAATCTTGCAGTTCAAATAGAATCTAACAAGTTAGTAACTTAAATGCTTTAACAAAACCCACATAAAGTACATCACATTTTTTTCTCATAAAATGTCAGGCTTTTTAAATTTTTTTCGTAAACTTTTAAAAAAAAATAAAAACCAGCCAAATACTTAAAGTAGTATGTACATTTAGATTTTGGTGGTGATTTATACTTTAAAAGAAACAGCTTCCTTATGATTTGCCTCAAGTTCTGGCGGAAATGCTTGCAGAAACTAGGAACAAAGCTCAAGAGAAACACACGCAAACATTGATTTACTTGGTAGCAAATGGTGTTCTCTGACAACTGAAGGGCAGACAGACTCCATTACAGTGAAGCGGGCTATTTCAAATACACAACACTTCACATAAAAAAATTTGAAAAAAAAAAGTTTTAAAGAGCTAAGCATCTGCATCCAGGGACAACAATGCCGAATCTAGTGTATGATGACTTGAAACAAAAGGAAATGCCCACAGGGGAAAAGTATACTTCAATCTAAGTTTACTTTCAGTCAATAATCCAGTAAGGACTTCCTCTCAGTACATACTTCCTCTCTTTCCATAAGGCTGGGCCTGGAAGCCAGAAAGTGTAGGTTGTGAGGGAGTGAGGTTAGGTAAGTAACTGCTCACAGTTTAAAGACACATTAACTTTTGGCTTCCCTCTCAATATGCTAATAGTTGTGTCTAAAAAAATATGCAAATCTTAGAAAGGCACCATTTCTGGCTTCTTTATTATCTGTAACCTTTGGAAACTAATCCCATCAAACTACAAAATTAACAAATGTCTTGAAATCTGTATACTAAATAAATTATCTCTAATTTCAAATTCTCATTTATCAGTGTACCACTCAATCTTAAAAAAAGGAAATAGAAGGAAAAATGCAGCTCCAATGATAGTCTTACTCCTTTCTTTGTAACAGGAGACTGTACACCCACCCACATCCCAATCTCAAAACGTATCATTTAACTGCCTTGGTCATGGACATTTCCATGATGAGATTTTGTATTTTGTTCCCATGGTGTCTGTTTGTCTGGGAAAGACCACGTTTCCTTTATTTGCTCCAGCTGATGTTGGTATGTCCTTCCCAATATTCTCCATCCTCATCTTTCCTCCTGGAGGCATTTCTTCTGGTTCACTATCTTCATGTTCATTAAAAGTTGCTGCTACAGAAAGGGTTTTTGGAGCAAGAGTTGGAACGGTTTCTTAGGATTTGATCCAAGTTTGATGGATATGGCTGATGCCTTCTTTTTCATCTGACTATCCATGGCAAATCCAAACCTGGAGATCTTTGTAGGCTTTGTTGGGAGGTCTACAGCTTCTTCAGCTGATCACAGCACTGTGACTGGAACTTTCCGCTTCATTCCTGGAAAAAAGTCTTAGTTTTCACAGGCCTTTCTGCTTCTTCAGGTTCTCTAGAGGCTCCAACTTGCTGTGGCTTCTCAGGACTCTCCTCTACCAGCTTCCCATGTGCCATCTTCCCTGCAGCTGCCTCCCCTCAATCATGTCCTTTTCTTAGAAGCTACTGCTGAAATACCAAATTCTGGTGGCTCAAGTTATCCAGAAAACAGTGCTGCTTATAAATGAAGAAACGTATGTGTATACATGGTTGATGGGACAGATGACATGCTGCAGTGTGTGACTAAAGCTGTCACTTGGCCTTACAGTACAGTGCTCTATTATTTTACATAGCTGCAAGCCTAATCACAGGATGTATAAGAATAAGGAATGCCCAGAGGTAGGAAACATACCAGGGCAGGTGCTCTAAGCCATCTCTATAGCAATAAGGGTCTGGAACAGGATCAAGTTAGACATGGAAAGGTATAAAATAAAGCACCAAGAAAATAGAAGCATGAAATTGACTGACAGAGGAGAAGAGGAATCAGAAACAATTACAAGTTACAAGTTAAAAAGGAGAAAACAACAGTACTATTGTTTAGTACTAGTGATGAAAAAACTTGAATATGGACATTTAGGATGCCTTACTTTGAGCCATGTACATTTTGACTGGAGTATACCAGAATATAAATAAACCATACTTATATTAGTATGTAAAATCCAGATGAGCAAGGTATTTTGTCCTTTTGTTCTGCTGATATATTCCCAAGTGATCTGAATAGATCTGAATAAACATTTGCTGGACAAATGAAGGATGATCAATAGGTACTACATTAGGCAGGCAGGGAAAAGAAGTTCTGGTATACTACTGTTCAGTAGGGTAATTATAGATAGCACTATACATTCTAAAGAGACAGATATTAAAAGCTGTCACCAGAAAGACCTGATAGTTGCTTGAGAAGACATATGATGAACCTGATTTAAACATTACTCAATATATACCTGTATGGAAACATTATATATTGCCCCAGTAACAGGAACAGAGTTTATTTTCATGTACCACTTCAAAATAAATGCACCTGAAAGAATTAAGTGCATCTTACTTCAGTGTTTCAGCAAGAAAGAAGCTCTGCTGTACATCGTCATGTGTGGGTGTGGCGGAGTACACATCCTTGACCCCGGAAAATCCACCACTGACACGGCAATACTTCTCAATAGCCTGTGAAGATCGGAGGAGAGACTTAATTCCATGAATTTCAACTGCAAAGGATATGTCAAAGAAAATCTGTTCAAAGAATACATTATTTGTAATTGATGATATATTAAGCCTAAGAACAATATGTTATCAAGTAGAAATATTCTCATACTATAAAAATAAATGTGAGAATCTCTTTCATTCTTTAACACTATACTCTTTCTACAGCATCTCATATTTTCCTGGCTTAATTTGGGCTATTCTCTCTGAATTAGAGACCTGTCTGATACAATAAAGCCCCATTAACTCTGACAAATCAAAACAGAAGTCAGTTGATAGTAACAGGGGAGATGAATGGCTCAGTCAGTAAAGCACTTGCCTTACAACCTGAAGACCTGAGTTCAGATCCCGAGGACCCGAGTTCAGATCCCCAGGACCCATACAGAAAGCTGAGTGTGGTGGTATATGCCTGTAATCCCAGAAATGGTGAGATAGACAGAGGCAGAGACAGACTCACTGGAGCTCACTGATCAGCTAGCCTGGACTGCTTCGTGAAGATCCAGGCCAATGAGAGACACTGTCTTATAAGGTGGAAGGCACCAGAGGAACAACAGCCAAAGTGGGCTTCTGACTTTTACACCCATACCCACCCAAACACTATCACAGCCCCCCAATAAAACTAAATTTCAATTTAACCATTTCCAAGAACAAATTATAATTTACAACATGCTTAAAAAATTATTTCAGAGTTTTCTACAGCAGTGGAAGTAAGAGATAATATGTATTGCAACCATAGACTGTATCGAGATATTTTTATTTCCACAATCTTGTAAGAGTTAGGCATTACAGATGATACAAACTAGCAGGAAGGGAACACCTACATGCCTATCACAAGAATGGCTACATCTTAAGAGTCAATAATTATGAAGTATTTCCTATGCTGAAGGTCATTCTGAGAGCCTTACATGCACTGACATCTAATTTCATAGTCCTAGGAAGCTAACAGCTCCACTTTTCAGATGGAGAAACTGAGCTGAGCTATTGTTCTACATTAACTACTACGTAGGTTCTACTGGTTGATCGGAATTTAAATTTCTTAATTTATATTTCATTTTGAATCTTTGAACATGTGTAAATCAAAAAGAATCTATTTACAACTCCAAGTCAAAGCCACCAAACATGCTGCTGGTGTAGGCACATTCCCCTTCAGAATTAGAGCATTTGTTAAAAGCTAACAGCACCATGGCTCCTCTTTTCCTACTTGACCCAACACCGATACTGTGCACTGAAGGTGTTACACCTCACTATCACTGCCACAGCTGCTGCTCCTATTCCTCTGGTCCTAAAAAAGCTAATTAACAATAAGTATTCAAATTCTTAATTTTACAGCTCTGTATTTATTATAGCTGTGTTTAAAAGCCTTCTTACTGAGGGATTTGGTGCTTTTATCAAAGTAATTTAAATATTTTTTTGAACACACCGATTTTTAAGTCCTAATCTTAATGATGACGTGGACAACAGATCATTAGGGGCTGAAGAGATGGTTCAGCAGTTATGAACACTTGCTGCTCCTGTAGAGGACTTCATGTCTAGTTCCCAGCAATCACGTTGGGTACCTTACAGTCAGGTGCTACTCCAGTTCTAGGGGAACTGACACTCTCTTCCTATCTCCACAGGCGTCCCCCACATACACATAGTATATGTAAATACATGCAGTTACACACACACACACACATACACAAATCAATCTTAAAAAAAAAACAAAAAAAAAACAGACCATCACTATATAAACTATCAGAACAGTTTAAGTCGAGGCTGGTTTCAAACTCACTAGGTAGCCCAGGCAGGTTTTGTGGCACTACTCCTGCCTAGCCTCATGCACTACCACATTCAGTGAGAAAGTCTAAAGTCTATATTTTAAAAGTAAAACAGACTGCTTCCTTTATTTACTAACTATTATAAATTCCTAATTCCATACATCTCTCTCACATAGACACACACACACACAGAGACACACACACACACACACACACACACACACACAATTTAAATTTTCAATTAAAAAAAATTTTTTTTTAACATTTACTGATCCTCTAAGGAATTACTCAGAATATAAGGTCAAGTGGGCAGAAGTCATCCACCCAGGCTATGAACTGGGGCTAATTTGACATGGGACTAATTTTTCTTCCGTGTTTAAAAATAAAGATGACCTCACAGAAAATAAAGCTGCTTGTTTTGTAAGAGTACTGAAAAACTGCCTTTTGAATAATGCCTTATAGATCTTCAGTAATAATTATGAGTGAATACTATTATCAAAATGAACCTAATAGAAAGCAAAACAGGATGCTAAAGCTTGTTTCCAGTCTGAAGAAACTTAAATTGGCTGACAACAGCTTCACCAGAGAAATTCTCAAAAACGAAGTAACAGGGATGGGGATCCGTGGGAGGCCTTCCATCAGTAACAGCACAGACAAAAGGAAATATTGTTGTATTTACCAATGCTGCTTCCCAGCCCCACTGTCTGTATCTTGGGTCGTGAGTGAATCTCCAAAGGTACCAATAGGTTTCAATCACTTCTGGGCGGAGGATGTAATATTTTTCAGCCTGCCGGACAGCCACAGCCTCCACTGCACCATCGAACTTGAATGATTCAGGACCTAGTTTTAATGCTATGACAAAAGAAATAAATGAGCAAAACAAACAATCTGTGTTTGCTTACAAGAGTACTCTTCTCCCTCAAAGAAAAGGACAGGATGCCATTTTTTCATTTGTGGGTTTTTCTTCCTATTAGTTTCATTTTTATTTATTTATTTTGGAATTGAAAATTGAACCAAGGGCCAGTTAAGGCCAGTGCTCTACCACTGAACTACATCCCTAGCCCTGAAGCAATTTTTGTTGTTTTGTTTTTATTTTTACTCTTTTGCAAAATCAATCATTTTAAAAGAAAGTACCATTTTTGGTTTTTTTACAACACAATTACAGATATTTCTATTGCTCTGATATGAAATATCTTTTCAGCATATACACCAAAATGCTGCTAAATATGACTCTATCAACAAGAGTCTGGTAGTAAACTGGAAAAAATGCAAAGCTAACTATAGCACAGTACATAGTCTATGTAGTCTATACCCCCCCCAAAAAGTGCAATTTTTCAAAAAATTAAGTTAATTTTTAAGTTCTTTTTGCTAGAATACATTTAAGAAAAATACTTCAAAGCTTATACCTTGAATCAGATTTAGTGGCAGATTAGTGGCAAGCTGCAAAGGGAGAAAACCAATGAGTGGTCCTACCCAGCTGTAAAGTTTAATAACCACAACAATGACTGGCACAGCAAACTACCTCTATTGGTGCCATAGTGGCATTTTTATCTTGGGGGTGATCAACATCTAACTGGACTTAAAGCCGGACCAATGAGAGGGAACTCATGTGTAGTACTGTAAATATCACCAAATACACATGGCTGGAGAAGTCATAGATCCTAGAGAAAAACCTACATCTGCCACATTCAAGACAAATGTAATTTCTCACTGAATGCTAAATACGTTGGCATTTACAGACGAGTATGCCTCTCACCATTCATCAAAGAAGCTTCTTTTTGCAACAGACTGAAACTATTAGAGTTCCACAAACAGTCACACACAGAGAATAAATGTCTGTGAGATGCCCAACCCTAAGCAACACATCTACAATGAAACTTCTATACCTAAGGCTCATGGAACATAGCAGAACAGGGGGCAGAAAGACTATTAATACATCTCTCAACTCTCACCAGCGAAGCTTCCTCATGTAACAGATAATGATTAACACAGAAAGTCAAAACTGGCCAAAATGGGAGAATAAGAGTTGTAGAGTCCATGTCATGAGACAGACTCCTATGTTAACCCTCAGCCACCAGGTCTCCTGTGGAAGAGGGGCAGAAAGTCTGTAAGAGTCAGGGGTGGTAAATAACACAAGGAAACGGAATTTTCCAGGCAGCTGGGAACTTGCTCATATGAACTTGCAGCAATGATGACAGCATGTGCAGGATTAATGCAAATTCAAACCATACAAAAACCCAACACAGAAGTGGGGAAATGGGTAAGACGCCCCAACCTTAACTGAGGAACTACTGGAAACTGATCACTGCTGGGGGAGAGAGAGTTGGTCTTCCTTATGGAAGTGATGCTAGATAGTAATGACCAGGCTCCAGTGGATGAACTCACACTGAGGGACATCTAGGGACACAAACTTGACTTCTATGACAACATATAACATATATGGCTTTAACATACATGACAGAATGCATGCAATCAGGTGGGGGCTATACAGGTGCAGATGGGGGAGAGGTTCTAAATATGATCAAGATGCATTGTAAGAATTCAATTAAATTTAAAAAAACCTCTTCTATTTAGCTTACTGATAAGGTCTACCTTAAATGAAGTATAATTTGGTACGTAATAAATGGTTTAAATGATGATAAAGGGCTATGTGTTTATGCCAGTTTCATACCATTTTGATTACTATAATTTTGTAGCTTAATTTGAAATCCTAAAATGTAATGCTTGCAACATTGCCCCCCCTCAGGTCCTTTTGTAATTCTGCAAGAACTTAAAATTTTCTTTTTTTTCTTGTATTTTTGTGAAAAGTATCATAGGAATTTTGGTAGGAATTTTATAGTACACACTCAAACTCGTCCAACCCATGAACACAAATGGCCATCCTCTGTCCATCTGAGTCTCCTTCAATTTCTTTCATCACTATTCTGTAGTTTTCAGCAGATTGTTCTCTTTGCTTAGACTTACCAAGTATTATTATTCTTCTGTGTGCTGTTTGTCTGTGTGTGTGTGGAGGGGGTATGCACATGTGTGGGAGGGTACATTAGATGTCTTTCTCTAGCACTCTCTGCCTTGTTCCTGTGACACAGGGTCTCTTGCTAACTCTAGAGCTTGCAATTTTTCAGCTAAGCTGACACAAGCTCCAGTCATCCTCCTGAGGTCTCTACCCTTCAGTGTTGGAGTTATAGACATGCCCAAGAGCACATCTGGCTTTTACGTGGGTACTGGAATTCTAATCCTAACTCTAGTCTTCTTGTTTACACAGTAAATACTCGTAAGTGCTGAGCTCTCTCTCTAGTCCCAACTATTTTATTTGTGATCCTATAACGAACAGGATTCTTTTCTTGATTTCTTTCTCCAATAGACAACTATTAATATAAAGACATGCCACTGACTTTTCTATATTGATTTTGTATTCTGCTACTGTTCTGAACTAATTCTGACAGGTATTGTGTGCAGACTTTATTAGGGTTTCCTACATATATAAATCATGTCGCATACAAATAGGAACAATTCTCTTCTTCCTGATTTGGATGCCTTTCAATTCTTTTTCTTGTCTCACTGCTCTTGCTAGTATCCTCCAGCACTACATGGAACAAACTGAGTTCAGTGCTGGACTAGGTATCTAAGACTGTCTCAAGAATACATAAACAAATTGTTAAATGGTGCAACATCATAAGCACTGAGAGAAGAGTAACCCTCAGTCATTTGGTCTAGATTTCTTGTGCTTTTCCTTCCTCAAAAGAAGAATGAAACTTGAAGGAAAATGAATAGAACTAGAAATTATTATATTAAGTATCCCAGACTCAGACTGACAAACACCACGTTATCTCTGATAATGCAGATCCTAGCTTCTAATTTACATGTATACATATGTATTTATGTGGGAATAAGAGTAGATATAGATCATGAATCTAGAAAGGGGACCATGACAGGGAAAAGAGGCTTTAAGACAATGGGAAGGGTAATAGAATTCACAAGGCTTGAGAGGAAGAGGGACCCCTGAGGGAGAAGCCACAAAACAAAGTATGAAAATGTATGTATGTGTGTGTGTGGGGGGAGGGGTTCCTACAAAACAAAGCATGAAAATGCCAAAATGAAATGTGCTACATTGTGTACTTTTATAAAAGGAAATTTAGAGGGCTGCTGGTACTAAGATCAAGTTTTTAAAAGTTCAGAGTAAATTAACTAATAATTTCCAAAATAAAATCAGAGCTACAGTAGAAATTGGCTGTGAGGAAACAGCATTTTGAGCTTCTTACCGAAAAATTATTTTGCTTACTGGTCAGGCTTTTCTTCACATAAGAAAAAACACCAGGTTTTTCCTGCTAAGTCTGGTGAATGAAAAAGGGCAAGGCTAAACGACGTATCTTACCTCACCTACGGTTAAAATAAACTGGAACAATGTCCAGTCATCAATCTAGTGTCCCATGTATATACCATGCCGAAACCCTACGAAGGCACTGCTTAGCTGCATGAAAAGGTTCAGCAATCTTTTTCATAAACCCAGCTAAATGTAAAACCTGGCCATGTTTACCACAATGGTGGACTACACTCAGACGATTCAATTTTGAATTAATTTAAACCCTAATTCCAACAACAGATCAGGTGAAACCAACCCCAAGGCAATAATTACATTACTAATTGCAAAAAATATCTAAGGAGAAGCAGATAGGTCTTCAAAAATATAGAGGCTAGAAAAATTACAGTACAGCCCTAAGAAATGTAAAACAACTGGGAAGAGTAGAAGACCAGGACTTATGCAAAAATCTAACCTGAGATTAAAGACAAGTCAAATCAGAGCAAGATCTAAAAGAACAAGGCACAAATCAAATGCCTTTTGGGGTATATCATGACAAAGGGGGTCAAAGGCTCAACTCACCATGTAAAACTATCAGAACAAAACACAGCTTAGCAATGCCAGCTTGAAACGAGAATGCTGAGAACACAAAAGGGCACCCTCATTCCCATGAGCTTCTCAAAGGCAGGGGATATATCTTGCTCACACTTTCTTTTAACCTGTAGGCACAGCATAGTTTTCAGCATAATATGGGCATTCAGCGCTTAATGGAACACATAATTGTAACAAATATATTTTTAGCATACATGCCATATCAAATTCTATGTTTTAGCTCTACCATTTACTGTCAGTTCATATGACAAAAGCACACCTAACCACAATCAAGTGTCTACACCAGTCCTCATGTTTCACAGGTTTGAACTGCACTTTAAAAAAAATTTATCAGCTAATTAGGTTTCATTATAGCATTTTCCAAACAAAATCTGTTTTTCTGTTTCTCCATTTCTTCCTTACCCCTCCTCCTTCTTCACTACCCCTCCCTGTCCTGTGTCCTCCCATGCCCAGGAGCCTCCTTTTCACCTTCATGCCACTAGAGACCTCTGCCCCACCCGTCAACACCTCTTGCTCCCCTCTCCTGTTCTCCTATTTAGTCTACATCACTCTTAGGACTCTTTATTTATATACATGCAAACATTAAAAATTAGGATCTGCATATGAGAGAAAACATGCAATTTTTTTCTAAATATGACATAGCTAGAGAATTTTAAATGTGTAATCATTCAGTATTATAATACTGCGTATCAGAAATTCGTACACAGGTTTATTTTTAATGTATATTTTTATTGAGTTTTTGTGCATTTCATATAGATCTCAATCAACGTTAGACCCCTCCCCCATCCATGTCTGCCCATACTCCACTCCCACCAGATTTCATGCATTCTGACACATATGTTAAGTTCTATCCAGTCAAGCATTTGTACCCAAATGTCCCTTGATGCAAGTTCATCCACTGGAGTCAAGTCAGCTTACCTAGAGCCCCGCCTTTAAAGAAAATCTATTCTCCCTCACCCAGCAGCGATCAGTTGCTAATAGTTTCTCAACTAAGGTTGGGACCTACTGTCCATTTCCCTTTCTATGCTGTATATTTATTATTTTTTGTCAATTTTTTATTGAATTTTTGTGTATTACATATAGAACATCTTAATCATTGTCATCCTCCCATAGCACTCCCCCACCCCACTGGAATGCATACATTCTGTTATTTGTGTCAAGTTAGTGTCCCCAGATGTCCTTCAGTGCAAGTTCATCCACTGAGGTCTAGTCAGCTATCTAGAATCCCGCCCTTTAAGAAGATCAACTCTTCCTCACCCAGCAGTGTCAGATGCTAATAATTCTTCGACTAACACTGGGGCCTGCTGCCCATTTCCAATTTCTGTGCTGGATTTCTGTCTGCTTGAGTTTGCATGGGTCTTGTGCATGCTGACACCATTGCTACAGGTTCATAGGAGAAGAATCCCAGTAGCCTGTAGGACTCATTTCCATATGGTCATGAACTCCTCCCTGGATCTTACAATCCTTCTGCCCCCTCTTCTGCAATGGTCCCTGAGCCCTGGGTGGGTGGAGTCCTATCCAAGGACCAGCATTCTGCAGAGTCTTCAGTTTCTATGCTTTGGCCACTTGTGACCTTTTGTGTTCCTGACTCTCTGTTTTATGAGAGAGCTTGATGGATGAGAACCATAGGAGACAGGTATTATCAAAGGAGAAATGGGGAAAATGGGGATACATTCAATGCGGAGGGCATGGAGGGAGGGTTAGACAAGGAGAGAGAGAGGAGAGATAAATAAGGCCTAGCTCATGTGAAAAACCAGAGGGAACTGTATTAGTCCAAAAACCTACTGAAAAATTATATATACAATATCTCTATATAAGTCTATGTGTATAGCTGAAGGCTACGTAACAAGAAACATGCCAGACAGGAGAATTTCCTTTGAGTTGTTGGCCAGCATAGTCCATGAGAATCCCAATATTACACAGGTTATTGCCACAGTCCTTGCTTTCCTCCTAGAACTTCAAGGTAAGACCGTATTGCTGAAGACAGGACATACTTTGGACACAGGATTTGGAGCAATGGAGCTGGAACTGACCTGGAAGCTACCTTCCTGAAGGCTAGCTCTCATAGCTTTGCCACTAAAGGAGAACATCAATCGATGGTCCAGCCCCAGCTTTAAGGCCTAATAACCACATCAATTACTGGCACAGCAAATGACACTGGTACAATCGTGGCACTTTTATCTTGGGGGTTATCAACAGCTTCCTAATTGGACTTAAAGCCCACTCAATGGGAAGAAACTCATGTGTGGTTCTATAAACATAGCTGGAGAGGACACAGGTCACAGAGAAAACTCCAAGACTGTCATATCCCTAGACAAATGAAATTTATTACTAGGCACAAAATATGGATCCTTGTATTTACAAACAAGCAGCCCAGTCACCACTCATCAAAGGAGCTTCTTTGGCAACAGATGGAGATTATTACAGAGTTCCACAACTGGTCACACACAGAGAAAGACTGTGAATTGCCCAACCTTAGAGGCACATTTACAATGCAACCTCTACTAGACCTAAGGCTCACAGAACATAGAACAAGGGGTAATGAGAACACTAATGCATTTCTCAATTCTATGCTGTGTTTTTGTCTGATTGAGCCAGCATGGGTCTTGTGCATGCTATCACCATTGTTGCAAATTCACATGAGCAAGTTCCCAGAGGCCTGAAAACCTGTTTCCTTATTTCATCCATTTCCTGCAAACTTCAACAAATGCCTCTGGCAAAACTTGCTATGTCCCTGAAAAATGAACTTAGATCCACATCTTTCTATGCATAAAAACAGAAAACAATTCAAAACGAACCCAAAATGTTAACTTTAAACCTGAACCACTGAAACTTCTAGAGGAAAACACATGGAATAAACTTCAAGTTACAAGTATAAGCAAGAACATTCTGAGAACAGCCCCAAGAACTAACAAATGGAATTACATGAAATTAAGTTTCTACATAGTAAGGGAAAATATCAGCAGGGCAAACAGAGAGAATGGGAAAAAATCTTTGCCAGCTATACCTCAGACAGCGGGTTGAGTATCTAGCATATATAAAGAATTGCAAACATAAAACTGCCAACTAATAAATGAATAGAGTTCTCAAAAGGGACACAAGTTGTCAATAAATATTGTTTAATATTACAATTAACCAACAGGGAAATGCAAATTGAAATCACTTTGAGATGCCACCTGACCTCAGTCAGAATAGCTATGATTAACTAAATAAATGATAAAAAAAACAATAGCAAAGCTGTGGGGAAAGAGGAACCCTTATCCACTGCTGGTTGGAGTAAAAAACCAGTGTGACCACTATGGCAACCAGTATGGAGGTGTTGCTGTGATGAAATACCCTGACTAAAGCAACTTAGGAAAGGAGGTTTATTTTAGCTCATAGGTGCAGGTCACTGTCTGCAGCAGTGGGGAAGTCAAGGTGGGAGGAACTTGAAGCAGCTAATCATATCACATCCACAGTCAAAAGCAGAGAGCAATAAATTAAACTAATGTATGCATACCAGGGCTCAGCTCACGTTCTCCTCTTTAATGCATCCAGGACTCAAACCCAGGGAATGGTGCTGCCCACTTTTAGGTTACGTCTCTGAACATTGGCAGAATCAAAACAATTCTCTACAGACATGCCCACAGGCCAATCTAATATACACAATTCCTAACTGAAATGCCTTCCCAGGTGGTTATAGATTCTGTCAAATTAATAATTAAAACTAACCGTTCAGGAGAGGTTCTGCAAAAAATATTTAAAAACCTACCATATGACTCAACTATTTCACTCCTGGACATATATCTGAAATACTCTATATTCTACCACAGATATCTGCATATCCATGTTTACTGCTGTACTAGTCACAATAGTAAGGAAACCAAAGCAACCTAAATGTCCATTGACAGGTGAATGGAAAATGAAAATGTAGACCACATACACAATGGAATTTTACTCAGCTGTTAACTACATTTCAGGTGTATGATTGACATTCCATGTCATCATTGTAATTTTTGTTGGCTTCTATCTGTAACTCAGATCACTCAGATACCAACGCTAAACCACTCTGAAATATCACTGCTTTAATATTCTTCAGAGTTACATTTTTAAAGAAATGGAACCACTCATTTGGATAATGAGAGAACTGAAGGGTCAATTTCATCATGAGTTTAATTCCTTACTATATAAAAATAACTTCAGAGATTTATGAAGTAGGATAAATTATAAGCCAATCATATTTGTGTTATGGTACTTAATGACAAATTAATCCTAAACAGAAATCCAGTTTTATAGAAAAACATCAATTCAAGTTTCTGAAATCACAGCTAGAAATTACTACTTTTATAGGCTTCCAGGTTACTAATTATTTCACACAGAAATACACATTTGTAAAGCCAAAGAAAACCAGTTCTAATTCAGTGTTTCACGGCCCTTTGTCCATTACTGCACTCTGTAGGTACTGAACATCTATCTATGAATGTATACGTTACCTATGCCTTAAACATGAAGTATGACTTCACTTTCCCAAGAACCAAATTTGTCAACAATAAAAACCATCTCAATCTCTAGATGAAAACAGAGTATCAGAAAATATATATATATATTTCCAAAGTAAAGCCAGAGGGTCTTTTTAATCAAACAGACAAAAATTACTATTAAGTAAAAGCCAAACTGCCAGCTAGCCAGATTAGCAACTGAACTTTCAAGGTAACTATGATTCTCTTTTGGTTGCTTTTATTTTCTTAAGTGTATAGGCATAGCAATATAAACTAACAGTTTGGGATTAAAACTAGTAAGCAATGTAACTCCATACAAATATTTTACCTTTTGTCTTTGCAACAATCAGGTTCCAAATATTAACAACCCCCCCCCCCACCATACACACACATAATAGGGGCTGGAGAGATGGCTTAGTGGTTAAAAGCACTTGCTGCTCTTGGAGAGGGCCTGAATTCAGCTCCCAGCAACACAGTGACTAACAAACACCTGTAACATGGGTTCCAAGGGCTTCAACACCTCTTCTGGCCTCTGAAGGCACTGCACACACATGGTGTAGGCACGGCACAAACATGAAGGCAAAATACTCACACACATTAAAAAAAACAATAACATAATAAACAATCTCTCCCTGGGATGTTTAAAAATGATGCTAGAAGCATATTCCTGAAATTAAAAATTAAGAAACATTATTTGCTATTTTAGTGTCTGGTATTTTGAAGTGAACAGTACCAAATATATTTGCTTCCTAATTCCTGGAAACATTTAACTTAGAGGTTATTTTAGACTGATAATTATGTTCATTAATATTCTTACCAGTTCTGTCATATGACTCATGACACGTTCGTGCAATTTCTGCCCCTAGCTCTAAATAATGACCAGCTTTATCCTTTCTTGAGCCATCTGCTCCTAGAGCAAACATTCCCCCAGCAAAGCAGGCCAAGTGCCCCATCTTCCTTTCCAAGTGTCCATTCTTCCATTCGCCAATAAAGACAAGACCTCCTCGGGACTTCTTAATAAGATGTTTTTCTATAGCCTACAAGAAAGAAGATACAAACTTTTAGAGGCAAATTAATGCTGTGCTGGTTAGTTTTAGCTGTCAATTTGACCCAACCTAGAATCACCAAAGAAGAGAGTCTTAATGAGGAATTATCCAGATCAGGTTGGCCTGAGAGAATGTCTATGGCGGATTGTCCTGACTGTTCATCCAGGTGGGAGGACCCATCCTGAATGTAGGCAGCACCACTCCAAGGGCTGGCTCCTGAACTGTGTAAGAAAGAGGAATGTTAGCTGAGCAAATGCACAAACAAGCAAACAAGGGTCATGTACAATAATTACTCTCTCTGCTCCTGACTGCGGATGTGATGCTCTAACTTCCTTGACTGCCCCATGAAAATGGACCATAATGTGGAATTATAAGCCAAGTAAATGCTTTCCTCCCCTCTGTTACATTTTGTGAAGGTATGTGCCACAGCAACAGAAATGAAACTATGAGTAGTAGAACACAAACTATGAATTTGTGAACATTTATTTCTGGATATCTGGCTATCAGAAAATCTTGGTATTATGAAACTTTATTAAGTAGTAATTTTCCTAAACTGGAGACTTAATTTATAACAAACAAAATTTTTATTGAGTTATCAAATTAAACAAACATCCTACTCGCTACTATAAGACAGAATAGGAAGGGGTGATGTAGCCTTGGAGTGCCTTTCTACATACTATTACCTACATGGCTTGTATTTTAGAGCTAAAGGAAATCCATAATGATCAGTCAACTGAGATCATCTTAAGAAGTGATAAACCAAAAGGTTCTTCATTCAAACTCTATTTCACGCAACAAAAACTAAAGAAGACTAAATAAGTTAAAAATAAAAAGATCTTAATATTAAAGTTAAAATTATCTGTTTTCCATGTAATTGTGTCACCTAGCCAAGTACTTTTAAAAGGCATGAGCCACCTTGCACATTTATAAAGCTTTCAAAATGAACTAGAAGCCAGGCATGATGGCACACACCTTCAATCCCAGCACTGGGGAGGCACAGGCAAGCGGATCTTTGTGAGATCGAGGTCAACCTAGTCTACATAGTGAGTTCCAAGCCAGCTGGGCTACAGGAAGACCCTGTTTAAAAAAAAAAAAGACCAAAATGAATTGTAAGTTTAAATATACATCCCTTAACTCCTTACTTTAACTGAATTTTCAAAGTAAGGCAATCTGTCTTGGATGGTGTGCCATGGACATAGGGAGACTGAATGAGAAACAGCCCATCCTCCTGGAATGTCAGTTTTTCTAAGACATAGGGGTAGCAAGGGAAATATTTTACACTACACTTATATATAAGAAAAAGTAAAATATAACAATCACATTTCATTTTTAAAATGAGATTTCTGAAGAGCTTTGCTCCTCTGGACTATGTCTTCAGACTTTACTGGGAAGGGCTATGCATTTATTTTCTGCCTTTTCTATGAAAAAGTATAAAAAACTGCATTCATTCAGTTTACTTGGGTAGAAATCACTGCATACGATTAGTGACTATACTTTTCTTTCTGACAATAAAAAGGTTTCTTTCAAGGATTAATTTACATTTTCATTATGGGTTGTTCTCTAACATGCTTAATAACATCCAGTTTTGGAAAAATCCATCTTACATTCTTTGTTAACAACAATGCAAGCTTTACAGAATTGTAGGGATTATGCCTTCATCATCTTAAGATTTCAGAAGGCCTATTCTAATGCATCACACACTCAATAAATACTTAGCAAATAAACAATTTGACAATGGTGCTTGCAGATACTTAGATTTGAAGGGTTAGGAAAATGGGCGGTGACTGATAACCCAAAGATAAGGGATTACCATTGGATTTTAAGTTTTTGTTGTTTTCTTTTAACCATGATTCTCTGAAGCACATAAAAAGGTCAGTCTTTCTAATAGGGGGGCTAATGTTTCATCGTTACAGGTCACGTGAGATCAGCATGGCTTCAACTCACAAAGTACTCTACTCCATAAATGCTGAAAGAATTTGTTACAAATTTTTCTATCATTGTGTCCTTTTGTCATTTCTGTCCATTACAACACAAATCTTACTCTAAGACAGTCGCGCACATACTCATGAACTCACTAGAGCTAAAGAAAAAGGAAGCTGGTAGGTGAAAATGGGTTTTTTGTTATGAGCTACCTTGGGACTCTGGAAATTAATTGTAAGGCCCACAACAATGACTAAGATGTCATCTTACATCAAATTCCAGGCTGCTAAATGGCAGTTAGGAGTAATTTTATTACTCTTTGGTTAAAAGGTATTTAACAAGCATTCACTAGTACTGGCATTACTACTTTGCTACCAAAGGATCTTTAAAAATGCATGTTTCGCATACTATCTTAAAAATCAAAGAATAAACATAAATTTGATCATAATATAAAACATAACTAACAAAACAAAGATAAAGAAACCAGGGTTATGGGAATCTGAAGGGAAAAGGAGAAGAGAACAGGGATGGAAGCATCTTAAATAGAATAGCTCAGAAAAATGAGTTTTGAAATGACATTTTAAATTAGAATGCATCTTACAACATGTAGTCCTATCTGTTGTGTGCATTCAATGTGCTGTTTTAGCACTGAAAAATACTGTCTCCTAACAGTATGAATATCTATGGAAGATAAACTAAGAATGCAAAAATACATACTTGAGATCATGCTTTGAAATGAAATTTTATCACTTATTATTAAGTAATAATAAGGACCCATTATTTTGTGTCCTCCCCCCCTCACCGAGCTGAGGACTGAACCCAGGGCCTTGTGCTTGCTAGGCAAGTGCCCTACCACTGAGCTAAATCCCCAACCCCATTAGGGATCCATTATTATTAAATAATAATAGGGACCTATTCTAGATTTAAAAACTAATGAAAACAGGTTGGAGAAAACAAATACAGATTTACACATAGCAGATGACATGCACAACACACAGCAAATGAAAACAATTTAAAAATTTAAGGTTAACTTTCAAAACAATATCACACTTATCAATGCATATAATATTTTTAAAAGAGTAATAATTTTAAAATAATAAAAATAAGCCAGGTATGGTGGTGCACACATTTAATCCCAACATTCAGGAGGCAGAGACTGGTGAATCTCTGTTTGAGATCAACCTGCTCTACACAGTGAGATCCAGGCCAGTCAGGGTGAGATCTTTTCTCAAAAATAAATAAATATAATAAAAAATAGCTTTTCTTTTGGTAAGAATTAAGAAAAATCAAAAACTACTTTTAGGTTAAGTACATTGTAAAAAACAAACTATGAAAAAAAATCACTTGCTACATGCCACATGTCACTTCTTGCAAAAAATTAAATATATTTGTTAAGTACTTACTAAGTACCAGTTATATTTTGGTATTTGTGCTAGGTGCTGAGACAATGAGAAATTACTCTCTCTGCTTAAAGGAGCTAAAGGAACTAATGGATATTTTCAATACAATGCTACTGTTCTAAGTATAGTCATAAAATTTTCTAGTCTTCAATTTTAACAGTAGAGAATAAAACTCCAACTTTTTCAAAATGTAAGACGATAAAAATTTTAGAAACCATGTATTTACATTTAGATTCTTGATTATGCCTTAATTCCTTAGTTAACATAATCCTTCAACAAATGTTTACTAAGAAACTACAATGGACAAAGCACGGTGTGCCACACATTAACTTCAACATCAAAGCATTCTTTTAAAAAATGCTAAGTGGGGCTGGAAAGATGGCTCAGTGGTTAAGAGCACTGGCTGCTCTTGCAGAAGATCCACATTCGAATCCCAGCACCTACATGGTGGCTAACAACCTTCCGTAACCCTAGTTCCAGGGGATCTAACACCTTCTTCTATTCTCTGTGGGCACTGCATGACACAGGTGCACCTACACACATGCAGGCAATACATGTATACACATAAAATAAAAATAATAAATAGAAAAAAAAATTTTAATTAAAAATAAGTCAAAACCATTTTTTTAAATGGAAGGAAATTAGATTCCTACAAAGTAAAGGACATAAAATGGGTATTAAGACCCTTGGCTTGATTTTTTAAAAGCACAAAAACTACAATGCTGAAAACTGATAGCTATATCAGAATGAACAGGTTGGATGGACAGGAGGAAGTAATATACATATTAAACACCGTGATTAAGATAACAGGCTCTAGCAGGCTGTGGTGGCACACACCTTTAATCCTAACACTTGGGAGGCAGAGGCAAGTGATCTTTCTAGTTCAAGGCCAGCCTGGTCTACATAGTGAGTTCAAGGCCTGCTGGAGCTATAGGGAGACCCTGTCTCAAATCCAGGCTTTACCATTTACCAGGATTGTGACCTTTGACAAGCTACCTGATTTAATTGCTCCGTAAGGTCTTCATTGCTCCGTAAAGGGATGATAATGATCAAATCAGATCATATATGTAAAATGGGCTAGAACAATGCTTGGCTAAACAAGTGAGCACCATCACTATTGACTCACAGGCTCTCAATGTGTGGGTTTATGTGTCACTTGAAAGAAGAAATGTTTATGGAAATGTATGAAACCAGAAGTTTTTGCAGTCTATGTAGAAATTAACTAAAAGTAACTAAAATAGAATTTTATAAATATACTACACTAAACTCTGTTTTCAACAGTTTCTTTAAAACATCACAAATAAAAAAAGATTTAACACAAGGATTTTTCTATCCAAATTTTAACCAACTCTACAGTGAATGCATACAATCAAACATTTATATATAGTGTATTTCCAGAATGCATTTAATAACATGGTTCTGTTTCTGTCTAGTCACTATCTAACACTCAGTACATACATTCAATGTATTAAGTAAGAAAATACTTCAACAGTAGTCACCTCCACAGCATCATCATACATCCTTCTTGCCTCATGGTCTGTTTTGTCTGACATCAGCCACGCTTTCAGTAAGTACTCATAAAAGCTATCTCCCAAACCACCAACTGATGTATGATCTGTAAAAAAAGAAAAAAAGAGAAAAATACAGGTAGGGGAAGCAAAGACAAAATAAAATTAAAATACTATTTTTCAATTATAAAAACCATTTATAGATAATTAAAAATCATTCTGATTTCCAAAATATTCCAACACAGTCCCACAAGAGTACACATGACCCTGCTCTTGTGTACATACATACATCTAATTTTCTAGAAAATCTTTTCTTTTTCTATATGTCATATTGTAAATATTTAGGACCTTTTCTTGAATTACACTATTATCCATCCAAACTTTTCCAGAAGTGATATAATTATCACAAAACACACCTCTGTGTATGAAAAGAAAAACAATGTATTTCTTATAAACCCTTCAACCAATCAAAGAGTACTCTCACAGTAAGGACAGGGTGGACTATTCCATGGTTTGTGAGGAAAACTTGGAATTCATTTGCCAGAAAACAATATATTATTATCTTTAGCTCACAGAGGAAAAAAAAAAAAAAAAGCGTGGATGATTAAAAATTTAAGAGTAAAACTGTAAGTAAAGCAGAAGAAAATAATACTTCCTATGACACAAACTAAATTAAAGACAAATTAAAAGAAGAAACTGAATGGGGAAAAGTACATTAACACACATAACAGGAAAAAAGGTCATGGCCTAAGCCAAGACCCCTGACAAAATGAAATTCTATTATCATTTATCAAATCCAAGCATTTTTATGTTAAAAATTTTATCACATTTATTTACTTGTGTTATGAGTGGGCATGTGCCTGCCACAGCACAGGTCTGGGGGTTCTCCCCATCCACCATGTGGGTCCTGGGGATCAAATTCAATCCTCAGGCTTCCAGGCCCAATGAGTGATGTGTGTGTGTGTGTGTGTGTGTGTGGCCACAGGGTGTGGTGTGTGGTGCTGAAGATTGAACCCAGGGCCTGTACACAGGACGCAAGGACTCTACCACTGTACTGTATCCCCAGTACTCTCCAAGTATTTTAAAAGACATAATACTCAATGCTGACAATACAGTTCATAATTGTTGGGATTCAAAGGGAATTTTGCAGTAGCCATCAAAATTTAATGTATGGATTCTAGTTCTCCAATTATCCTGTAACATCACTTGAGAAGCACAAATACAGATGTAAAACAAAGTTCATTATAGAACTTCTTCCATTAGTAAAATGTTAAGCATAACCTGAAATATCTAGGGAAGTTGCAATATAAACGACTATATAAATATAGTATGAAGGACCACATGATAATTAAAAATAAATAGGGGCTGGAGAGATGGCTCAGCAGTTAAGAGCACTGGCTGCTCTTGCAGAGAAGCAGGGTTCAATTTCTAGAACCCACATGGCAGCTAACAACTGTCCATAACTCCAATTCCAGAGAAATTCGACACTCTCTTCTGACCTCCATGGGCACTGCATGAAACAAATGCTCTTACATACATGCGGGCAATACATTCATAAAAATAAAAATAAAGAAATAATCAAATGGGTCTGTAATCTTACACTGAAGGGTACCTATTTTGATTCTGTTAAATGTGGAGGGAACAGGCTCAGAATAATATTTACAGTTTGACAGTGCTAAGAAATTATATACTTCAAGAATGTTAGAGTACATATACAAAGTGTTTGAAAAGAATTGCTAATAGTGATTATCTCTGAGGAAAGGGGCCTTAAATTTCAACTCCCTGTCTAAATATACTACCTGAATACATGTAACTAAAAATCTGCTTTTGTTACAGAAAATAATAAATGGGGAAATGGGCTATGATCTACCTTAAGTAATAAATCAAAAATTCTAGTAATTCACATGTACCTTAAAGACCTTTTTATTTCACTTATTTTTTTCAGCAATCACAAGCACATGTATTGATAAATTTTTACACATGTATACACCTGTGTGGTGGTTTGAATGAAAATGCTTCCCATAGGCTCCACATATTTGGATATTTTGTTCCCAGTTGGTGGCACTGTTTTGGGAGGTCTTAGAAGGTGTGGCCATGCTGGAGGAAGCACGTCACTGGGGGTGGGCTTAGAGAGTTCTTAAGCCTTGCTGGATCTCCAGCTGCTCTCTTGTTTCCTGCGCCTGCTTAAAGATGTGAGAGCTTAGTGTCCCTCCTCCTCCAGTCACCTCTACAGCCATGCCATGCTTCCCTGCTGTGGTGGACTCTTGCCCCTTTGGAACACTAAGCTCAAATAAACTCTTCCTTCTATAAGTTGGTTGGGTCAGTGTTTCTCTCACAGCAACAGGAAAACTGACTAATACAACCTGTAAATTTTTTACTTCTCAGAGGCACACACAGCTTCTGGTTGCCTCCTCCCACTGTCCTTATGACAAACTAATATTCCTCCAAACTACAGTTTAGGGAACAAAAGGATTTTTTGGATTTACTAACAGAGCATAGGGTGGTGATGGGGATAATTTACAAAGGTGTGGGCACATGTGGGCTTCCTTCCCACATTCTGGCCAAGATGGCGAAGGCCACCCCTTCTCCGGCTTCTCCTATCCCTATCCTTAGTCCCTCCTGCTCATGTAGCTAAGGCCAACAGATGGGGTGGGAAGAATGACTGATTCCCTCTGCCCCTCCCCTCCTACAGAAGGTCTATAGTCAAATTAGTTTGTGGTAACTGAAGTAAGTGGGTGAATCCCAGCTGGAGAAGAAGGCATCTATCCACTGCTTACCAGTCTAGCTTGCCACTTGGAGGACAAGGTCATCCAACAACAAAAATAAAATCAGTGCTCAGCTATAAATACAGTATTATATTAAATATTTAATATACATTAAATATACACATTATATATTGTATATTAAATACAGTATTATATACATATATTATATACATTTTATATATTAAATACAGTATATTAAATATTTATTATATTAAATATATTAAATATTAATACTTCCTACACCCTAAAAGACTTCATGCAGCTTTCAGAGTCTACACGCAATCTCTAGAGATAACCAGTTCTCTGACTGCCATCACCAGAGATTTGTTTTGTTAGCATTTGCACTTTTATACAAAATGTCCATTATTTTCAAGATTCATTTCTTGTTGTTTTGATCTTTCTAAGACAGGGTCTTCTGTATCCCCAGCTAGCCTGGAACTTGCTGCTATGTAAGCCGGCTGGCCTCGAACTCACAGAGATCTGCCTGCTTCTGCCTCCCAAGTGCTAGGATTAAACGCTTGAATCACCATGCCCAGCCTTCAACTAAGATTTGTTAACTTAAATGCTGCTCTCTTTTGTTTTCCACCTACATATATAAAGACCCCTCTGTTTTATGTAGGCTTCTGAGTCCCTTAAAGTTAATTGAGTATCATAGTACATAGCTGGAGGAGAAAACAGGGCTATAATATGATAGCTTACTCAATTTCAGACTGAGTAAGTCTACAACTACATCTCTGATAGGATTCAATATAAAACATACTTACATTTAATAATTTTAAAATGATGGTCAAATGATGATGGGCTTATAGGATAAATTATAGTTAGACGCTAAAAAAACTAACACTTTTATAATCACAAAAAATCATAAAAGTTAATCCTTATAAAGCACTGAAACAATACAGAAGTTAAGAGCAGAAAAGTAGAGTCACACTTAACAGGCATACGCAATGGGTTTAAAGGCTGCTGATGCTTTGGGGTCACACTGTTTAGTAATTAGCAAAGAAACAGCAATTTTACATTTGGAGAGGAACTTTAAAACAGATGGATCAAAACAATGATGACGAAATAGTCTCATCACAATTTTTCAATCTCAACTTTGTAGTTATTTCAAAGTCTCTTGATTCAGGCAGTAACATTACTACTCTGCCACTGCTGAGTCTTTTCTTTGGGCTGACTCTGAAATTGAGCCAAAATAAAAAATTCTTCCCTTTAAGTTGTTCTCAGGTATTTTGGTCACTGTGACAGCAAAGTAACTAGTATAATGACCACCCATCAAAAAACTACTAGAGGGGGGCTAGAGAGATGGCTCAGTGGTTAAGAGCACTGGATGCTCTTGTAGAGGACCTGGGTTCTATTCCCAACCATCCAAATAGAAGCTAACAACTCCAGGGGATCCAAATACAACCAACATACCACCCAAATAAATCAAAAACACCATTAAACCTAAAAACTGACCACCAAAACTCAACACAATCCCACAACCAACACAACCACCAACAATTAAACACAACCCACCATAAACAGGAGAGGGCCTTCTTCTGGCCTCTGCAGGTACTGCACAACATGGGTGTATTATGTATGCAAGCATTGCATGACACAGATGTACTTATATACATGCAAGTGAAATATTTACACACAGTTTAAAAAAAAAACTATTAGAGGACATGCTCTTAGAATTAAAAAAAGAAAAATCCAGGAGACTAGAATGACATATGATAGCCAGGAGGGTGGTGAGTTCCAGGCTAGGTGGGGCTAGAGGGAAACCTTGTCTCAAAATCAAATCGAAACAAAACAACAAAAAGAAGCAATGACAGAGAAATTAAGAGTCTGAACCACAAGTTCAGAGTAAGGCTAGGAAATGGAGCAATAAAAGGCATGGCAACATTTCCATGTGGTTTAGAAGGAAAATCAGTAGATATTAGAAACATAAAGATCAGGATACTGGTTCAAATCTAAGAACAAGTGTTAAAAAGATGTATGTTGTATATGTATGTGTTTCAACCAGTGAAGAAAAGAGCATAGAGCAGCACGGGGGGTGGGGTGTGTGTGAGGAGGAGCTATTAGGAACTGACCTTAAAAAAAAAAGATTAATTCTGGCCCAAACAGCTTCACCCTTCAATCTAAAATAAAAACACTGGACAAAATAAAACAGTTTTCAAGGCAATGAACATCAGACAAGGGAGGATGTCATCTCTGAAAGATGGAAATGAATCCTGTTTGCCACAGGTCATTGCCCCCCCCAAAGTTAATGAAACAGAGCCCTATGGGTCCCCTGAGTTGAAGAAATGAAGCTTGGAACTGAAGGATAGGTTAGTATACCAAAGAAGAGAAATCTGCACAGG